CCGAGGAGAGGGGGACGCAGCGAAGGGGGGGGGGAGAGGGGGGGGTTCGAACCCCCCCGTCACGGGAGAAGGGGGGGGGGTTTCGAACCCCCCCCTCCATCCAGGGTGGGTGGGTGGTGGGTCCGGTTTCACCCCCCCCCCATCCAAGCGACCACAGAACGCGCTCTTTCATCTAATTGCTACGAATATGTGTTACGATGCTCGAGGAAGGGGAAGAAATAGAAGAAGGAAAAAGAAGATGGGAAGGAGTACGAAACGTGAAAGCGCCCGAGTCTCGTGTGGCAGTACGCGTCATCCTCGAATTGTCAAGGTTACTGCCGAAACCACTGGCTCAGTATCTTCCGTCGACGTCTGCAGACCGCGCCGCGCGCGCCACTGAACATTGAAACTGTGGGCCAAAGAGGGGGCGGCAAGACTTGCTTTGAGCTTCGCAGAGGGATGCAGAACCAGCCGGCACCGAACGGAGCAGCTGGATCGAATCGCCATGTGCGTCGGACCGAGCTGCAGGGGCGCAGGGCCGAGGCCGAACCGGATCGGCCCGGCCGCGCCAGGGTGCAAGTTGATGAGATCCACAGTGAGGTAAGGACAGCCGCCTTCGCTGGAAGTGCGTGGCGAGTCTCGAGGTGGAGGAGGTCGGATGGCCATGAGGGAGCTTGCGCCTTGCATCGTGCAAGACAGCGCCGCGCAAGCATCGCGTCGCGTCGGGTCGTCGGAAGCGCGGGCTCGGCTGGGGTCGGGCCGAGCAGAACCGATAGCGAAGGCGGACGGACTGGGTCGACACTTCGGATCGGAGCTTCCGCGGCGCTCGTCGCGGTCGCCGCCACCGTCGCCGCCGAGGGGGGTGGAGGCGACGAGCGCGGCAAGGTGCCGGGGCTCGCGCGGGCGTACCCGCGGGCGAGGGCGCCGAAGGAGCAGCCGTCGCCGGAAGAGGGGGGGCGAGGGGAGGGAGAGGGAATGGATGGGGGGGAAAGGAAGGGGCGAGGGAGGGGGGGAAGGAGGAGGGGAAGGAGGAGGGAGGAGGGACGAGGCAGGGATGGAGGGGAGGGGGGAGGAGGAGGGAGGGAGAGGGGGACGAGGGAGGAGGGAGGAGGGAGGGAGGGAGGAGGGGGAAGGGGGAGGAAGGATGGGGAGGGAACAGGAGGGGGAGAAGGAGGAGGAGGAGAAGGAGGAGAGGGAGGAGGAGGAGGAGGAGGAGGAGGAGGAGGAGGAGGAGCGAACGTCGCTCTTGGAAGGGATCGCCTACCTACTCGTGCGTGCACGTGCAGATTCCAGGCGACGAAGTAAGTGCTGAGGCCCGGAACCAGGGTGCGCGGAGGCGATACAGTGCAACCGGTGCGTCAGGCTGAGCCTCAAAACCGACCGATCAAGCGAGTCGTCGGTGGTCGAGGGATGATCCCGGGCAGATCCCAGGCACAGCCTCATTAACACGGAACTCGAGCAGTACTCTCTTGGGTAACAGACCGCCCACCACAAGTGGCGACATCGAAGGTAATGGGCCATCGAGTCTGCTCCCTCCTGGCAACCAAATTTACAAGGGGGCCGAACGAATGGATGCTGAAACATGCATGCGGGCCGCTGTGGGCCACGCTCCAGTGAGAACCTTGATCACCGCCCACCTCACCCCCTCCCTTTAGTCATCAGGAAGTGCTTTAAAGCCGTCCAACGCCTGCTCAGCACTCTGGTAGAGGGAGCTTTCACCCCCCACGCCACGAGCCGTTTCCTGAATGTGATGGGGAAACAGTCAGAGTAGGAGAGAGAGGTGACGAAGGAACGAAAGGAAGACTGGAAGGAACATCGTTTTACGACGTGGCGCAGCACGCCACGCGGCTTTGGCTGCCTCCGTCATCCGCCGAGCCTCCGTCAGGTTCGCTTCTGCTCTGTCACGGTGTCGGAGGCGGCAGTGTGGCGCCCTGCCCTCGAGCATGTCTCGCAAGTGCCTCGCGGGACCACGTCGGTCACACCACCAGATCGGGGTGAAGAGAGCTGTCGGGAGATCCGCCAGGGCCATCTGCGCCGAGCCGCACACGTTCAAGAAGTGGTCTTCCACGCCTTCCAGCATCACCAGCCGCTCCTGCTGAAACTTGAGCGCGGCCCGCATCCTCGCCGCTGCCGTCGAGGCAAACAGCGACAGCGGCGCAGTGAGGCCCAGGCTGCGACCCACAGAGAGAAGGCAGTCCTTCCTGAAGGTCTTCGGCGGCACCCGCAGCAGCACATGTAGCAGGTCCAGCTCTCGATCCAGCAGGAGGAGGAGGAGGAGGAGGAGGAGGAGGAGGAGGAGGAGGAGCTTATGCAGTATGAGGGAGCGAGGAGAGTATTAGGGGGAGGATGTGAGGCCTGTGAAGAAGGGGGGTTTGTTTGGGGAACGCGCTCACGCAGTGACATAAAAAGATCGCCTCCGTCGGACTCGGGGTCTGGCGCATTCTCCTCCTCCTCCTCCTCCTCTCCTCCTCCTCCTCCTCCTCTCCTCCTCCTCCTCCCCCTCCCCCTTCCCCCTCCCCCCTCCGCCCCTCCCCCGCTCCTCCTCCTCCTCCTCCTCCTCCTCCTCCTCCTCCTCCTCCTGCCTCCTCCTCCTCCTCCTCCGCCCCCCTCTCCTCCTTCCTCCCCTCCCCCTCCCCCCCAACCCACTCCCCTCCTCCTCCTCCTCCTCCTCCTCCTCCTCCTCCTCCTCCTCCTCCTTCTCCTCCTCCTCCGCCTCCATCCTCGCTCCGCCTCCGCCTCCGCCTCCGCCTCCGCCTCCTCCTCCTCCTCCTCCTCCTCCTCCTTCTCCTCCTCGTCCTCCTCGTCCCCTCATCCTCGCTTCCTCCTCCTCCTCCTCCTCCTCCTCCTCCTCCTCCTCCTCCTCTCCTCCTCCTCCTCCTCCTCCTCCCCCTCCCCCTCCCCCTCCCCCTCCTCCCCTTCTTCGCCTCCGTCGGACTCGGGGTCGGAGCGCACTCGCGACCCGTCGTGGCGGGCTCTCTCCTCTGCAGGCGCCTGGGCACGCGGCAGGTCGCCCTCGAGCAAGCACGCGGCGGAGCCACTGACGCTCGGTCGCCAGGCGCGGCGGCAGGAGTGAGGAGGAGGGAGGAAGGAGGAGGGGGAGGAGCAGGAGGGGGAGGTCGCCACCTCCTCCTCCTCCTCCTCCTCCTCCTCCTCCTCCTCCTCCTCCCCCTCCTCCTCCTACAGACCAAACCATACCTCCTGCTCCTCCTCATTCCTCCTCATTCCTCCTCCTCGTTTTCCTCCTTTTCATGCTCTACTCCCCCTTCTCCCTCCCTCCTTCTCTCCTGCTCATCCGTCTCCTGCTTTCGCTGGTGAGCCTCTTCGTTGTCGTCCTCCTCCTGCTCCTCCTGCTGGCGAGCGCGGACCCGCTTCGCCCGGCGCTCTTGGATCGGGAAGCGGCCGACTCCCCCGCAGCCCCTCAAACAGGGCGGCTCCCCTGGCACTCCGTGACACGCTGTCTGTGACAACGGCCACTCCATGGAGGGGGCCCGCCGGCCAAGGCCTTTAGACGAAAGAGACCACCTGGGGCCGGGTCAGTGCACGTGACGATGACGATGACGATGACGGCGGCGCTGAGTCGCTGGCAGGCCGCGCCTTCTCGCCACCACCAACTTCACCATCATCCCCATCATCATCACCATCACCATCAGCATCATCACCATATTCATCATCAGTATCATGCATACAGTCATTGCCATCACACTCCTCACCATCGTCCTGATCATTACTAGCATCATCATCATCATCATCATCATCATCATCATCATCATCATCATCATCATCATCATCATTATCATCATCATCATCATCAGCAGCATCATCATTAACTACCACCGCCAGCACCATCATCATCATCATCATCATCATCATCATCATCATCATCATCATTATCATCATCATCATCATCATCATCATCACCATCGCCATCGATATCACCATCATCATTGTTATCATACTCGCTACAGCCATACGCACCATCACCAGACTCATCAGCATCAGCATCACCACCACCATCATCATCATCATCATCACCATCACCATCGCCATCGTCACCGCACGCATCGTCATCATCATCAGTATCAACACCATCAGCATCATCATCATCGTCATATGCATGATCAGCATCATCATCATTAATATCAGCATCACCATCAACATCATCATCAGAAACATCATCGTTATCATCATTATCATCAGCATCATCATTACCATCATCATCATCACCATCATCACCACCAATATCATCATCAGCAGCATCCACATCACCGTCACTATCATGTCTATCATCATCACCATCATCATCATCGTCTTCATCAGCATCGTCATCATCATCGTAATCATCGTCATGATCACCATCAGCACCATCCACATCATCATCAGCAGCATCATCGACACCGCAACCACCATCTCCATCATCACCGTCAGCATCAGTACCATCAACATCATCAGCCTCATCATCACCATCATCAACATCATCAGCATTACCATCATCATCAGCATCACCATCTTCACCATCATCACCATCATCATGATCATCAGCATGGTCTTCATCATCATCACAACCATCATCACCAACGTAAGCATCAGCATCATCATTACCGTCGTATCCTCATCATCATCATCATCATCATCATCATCATCATCATCATCATCATCATCATCATCATCATCACCGCCATCACCAACACCAGCCATCACCATAATCATCCTCATCTCGTCGGCCTCCGCATCCTCCTCCTCCTCTTCCTCCATCTCCACCTCCTCCGCCTCCTCTTCCTGCATCTCCACCTCCTCCTCCTCCTCCTCCTCCTCCACCTCCTCCTCCTCCTCGTCCTCCATCTCCACCTCCACCTCCTCCTCCTCCTCCTCCTCCTCCTCCTCCTTCTCCTCCTCCCCCTGCTCTTCCTCCTCCCCCTCCACCTCCTCCTCCTCCTCCTACTCCTTCTCCTCCACGTCCTAACGCGAATCACAGTTTGCCGCTGCCCCCTCCGCTCGCACGCGCGGTCGGCGTGGGGCGCAGCCTCGCCATCGGCCTCGGCGTCGTCGTCCTCGCGTTTGCGAGCGGCTCCCGCTCCAGTACGCCCAGTGGTTTTTACATATGAAGGACACAGGAGGAGCCAGAGGACGAGGCAGGAGCAGGAGGGGCAGGAGAAGGACGAGGGAGCGCGACCACCTGGTCTCTGCTCCAGGTCGCCCATGGTGCCAGCGAGTGGGTGCAGGCCTGACTGGCCAAGAGGAGGGCCGGGATGTGTCCCCCCCTCCGCCTCCACCCCTCCTCCTCCTCCTCCTCCTCCTCCTCCTCCTCCTCCTCCTCCTCCTCCTCCTCCCCCCCTCGTCCTCCTCCTCCTGCTCCTCCTCGCCCTCTATATGCGCGAGGGGGCAGCAGCATAATCAACAGAGGGGAGGAAGAGGCGGCGGCGGCGGGCGGCACCGCGCCGCGCATGAGCGCGCGCCCGACCTGATATGACGGCCGTGGGGGTGGCTGGGGGGTGGGTGGGGGGGGGGTCACGCGCTGCGAGCGCTTTCGTCCGCAGTTTCGGCGCCCAGGCGCCACCCTCGGCCCCCCGAGGGACGGCCAAACCAAGTCGGGGCCGCGCCGGGGGACACGGTCCCCACCCCTGGGGGGTCGGGGACTGACAGCTCCGCGGCCCACGTGGTGAGAAGACACAGGCGCAGGCCTAGGCGCCGCGTGCACACCGCCCCGCCCACCTCAGGCACCACTTCCCATCACTTCCCATCCTCCTCCTCCCTCTCCTCCACCCCTCCCTCCCCCCTTCCCTCTCTCCCTCCCTCTCCTCCCCTCCTCCTGCACCTGCACTTCCCCCCCATTCGCCCTTCCCCTCCGACGACGGCGACAGCACCGCCAAAAACGGCGACAGCGACGCGAGGACGACGCGACGGCCCCTCGTCGGCGGCGGCAACGGTGGCGGCGGCGCCGACGACGACGGCGACGCCCTCTTCGTCTTCGGCGACTGCCCCTCGAGGGAGGCGTCGTCGCCGGCGGCGGCGCCGTCGTCGGCGGCGGCGGCGCGCGTCCTCCGACTGCGCCGAGCCCTCGCTGCTGGGAGCAGGCGCACCCGCTGGGGGCGGCGGCGCCTGGGTAGGGGTGGGGGGGGGGGGCGCTCGCCCCCGCCCCTCTCAGCGCGAGGGGGGGCGAGGGGATGGGGTAGGAGGCGGAGGAGGGGAGGAGAGGATAGGGAGGAGGAGGAGGCGGAGGAGGAGGAGGAGGAGGATGAGGAGGCGGAGGAGGAGGGAGATGGAGGAGGAGGAGGAGGAGGTGGAGAGGAGGAGGGGAGGAGGGGAGGAGGAGAGGCGGAGGAGTATGATGAGAGGAGAGGAGTGGAGGAGGAGGAAAGGGAGGAGAGAGCGGAGGGGAAAGAGAAGGACGAGAGGAGGAGGTGGAGGGAAGGATAAAAGGAGGAGGTGAGAGGAAGGAGGAGGGGGAGAGGAGGGGAGGGATGAAGAAGACAAGAGGAGGGGGAAGAGGGAAGGGAAGCGGAGAAGGCAGGGAGGGAGGGAGGAAGGGAGGGATGGAGGGAGGAAGGGAGGGATGGAGGGAGGAAGGGAGGAAGGAAAGGAGGAGGACTGGACTGGACTGGACTGGACTGGACTGACATCTGGGAATCCAACTGATCTCTCAACCAGCCGAGCCTGCCTTCAAACGCAACGCTGCACAGCATTAGACACACTGTATGCCACTACCTTCCTACCAGCCCCGGAACCGCTCTCTGCCGCGAGCAGCACTGGCCCTGGCACCACACCAGCACTCGGGCACGCAACCCTGCTGAGTGGGCAGCAAGGCACGGGACGAGTCTTTCCCCCTTCTCCGGCCCCCCGACATCCGACCCCGACGCGGTCGACGACGAGGCCGACAACGAGGCCGACGCGCGATGAGCCTGTTTTCCACCACCACCAGAAGTTGGAGGGGGGAGGAGGAGGACGAGGAGGGACGGAGAGGAGGAGGAGGAGGAGGAAGAGGTGGAGGAGGAGGTCCTCCCCTCCAACTTATTATTATGGTGGTGGTGGTGGTGGTGGTGGTGGTGGTGGTGGTGGTGGTGGTGGTGGTGGTGGTGGAAAACAGGCCCATCAGACGCGGTCATCGACGACGAGGCCGACGACAACAACGACGACGAAGCCACCGACGACGATGACGACGACGACGACGACGACGACGACGACGACGACGACGACGACGACGAGGCCGACGACGAGGCCGACGACGACGACGACGACGACGACGAGGCCGACGACGAGGCCGACGACGCCGCCGGGGGGTCGGGCGGCGGTCCCCCACGCCGGCGGGCCGCGTGGGCGCGGGCAGGCTGCTGGGCGAGCCAGCCTCGGCGCTCGCTGCGGCCGCCGCCACCGCCGCCGCCGCCGCGGTCGTGGTCGTGGTCGTGGCCCCAGAGATCCAACGCACTGACAAAAATCAGGACGGAGTTTTTTCTTTCTTTTATGATTTTCGGGCTCTAGCGGCCCTCGCTGGGCCCCGGGACTTTCAAGACAACGACTCAGGATGGAAAACCGGTCCTGGGGAATGGGTCGAGACTTCCAGGGACCCCGTATTGAAAAAATCACGACATCGGATCTCTGGGGTCGTGGCCGTGGTCGTGGTAGTCGTCGTGGTGGTGGAGGTCGTCGTCGTCGACGTCGCCGTCACCCTCGTCGTCTAAGACGAAGATCAGGGGTCCCAAAACGGTGCGGTGACACACCGTGCGGTGACCTCGGAGTCCCCAGCGACCTCACAGCACGGTACGTCACCGCACGGTCACCGCACGGCCTTGGCACCTCGGAGGCCCCAGTCGCCCAGGACATCCTCGGAGAACGACCCCGGTCTCAAAACTGTGCGGTGACCCCGAACCCTCACTGACCACCGACTCACCACACGGTGTGGTCACAACACCCTGTGGGCCACCCTAGCTGCTAAAAAAAGAAAAAAAAAAAAAAAAAAAAAAACAAAAAAGAAAAAGATAAAAAAAAAAAAAAAAAAAAAAAAACAAAAAAAACAAAACAAAAAAAACAAAAAAAAAAAAAAAAAAACAAAAAAAAAAAAAAAAAAAAAAAAAAGAAGAAAAAAACAAAAAAAAAAGCAAAAATAAACAAAAAAAAAAAAAAAAAAAAATAAAAAAGAAATAAAAAAAAATAAAAAAAAAAAAAAAAAAAAAAAAAAAAAAAAACAAAAAAAAAAAAAAAAAAAAAAAAAAAACCAAAACGGGCGAGTTCGGGCCAGAACAAATCTGGGGTTTCTGAGATTCTGGCGGATCTGGACCCAGACGTGCGACGTCCTAACGTTTTCCTCCTCCTCCTCCTCCTCCTCCTCCTCCTCCTATCCTCCTTAACGAAGCTGATCCGGGAAAACATCGGAAAAGCATCATCCAGGAAAAACCTGGCACACAGAGCATGAGGCACGAACCAGCAGTTATCCCTGACCACGCCCTACCCTGATCACTCGAGGCTTTGATTTGGGCAACAACACGACACGGGTCTTGCACGAGATGACATGGCGTTCTTACGCAGTGGCTCACGCGGGACACCAGCGCGGCACGATACATTGGAAACGAGGGCGCTGAAGCGCGACCTTACGCGGGCAGCTTACGCGCGAATGTCGGCACAATCGACCCCTTTTTTTTGTTCTGTCGCTCAAGTGGCACCCTGCCTCCCTTCTCCCCTCCCTCCCCAGTGGCAACGAGAGGGGGGGATTGGCCTAGGGGGGAAACACCGACCTCGAATGGGCGATACGTCGCCGATAGATCGGCGATAGGCCCCCGATAATGAATCCGCACGTTCCTGGGCAGGCTCGGGCCAACGGGCCCCTATCGGCGATCAATGGGCGATTAGGGGTCGATGCACCCCCCCATATGCCTATCCCAGGATGGTTTTCGGGCTATAACTCGGGCCTCCGGCGGCCGTTTGGAACGATTCCAGCACCCCCGGAACGCCCTCGACGAGGCGCAGCTGCTGGAACGCATCCCGAGGCTGGAAAGCCGCCGCGAATCGACGAAAACAACCGAAAACCTAGAACCTGGAATCGAAAACAACCGAGAACCTATGTCTATCTCCCCCTATGCCTATCCCCCCCTATCGTTGCCCCCGACCCTCCCTCCACTTCTCCCCCTGCTGCCCTGCTGCCTGGTGCGCCGGCGCCGGCGTCGGGGGCACGGGGCCCAGTCCGTTGGCACCGGGGGGCACGATGCCAGCCTCAGCAGCACCGCCACGTCGCCGTCGAGGCGGAGGAGGGAGAGGAGGGAGAGGGGAGGGATGGGAAGGATGGGTGGAGGAGGGATGCTCGGGGGAGGGGGTGGAAGGATGAGAGGAGAGAGGAGGAGGAGGAGGAGGAGGGAGGAGGAGATGGAGATGAGGAAGGAGGAGAGATGGAGGAGGGAGGAGGAAGTAGGAGGAGGGGAGAGGAGGTGGAGGGGGATGATGATGATGAGATGATGATGATGATGACTATATGATGATGATGATTGATGATGATGAGATATGATGATGAGATGATGATGCTGATGCTGATGCTGATGCTGAGATGATGATGATGATGATGATGATGATGATGATGATGATGATGATATGAGGATGGTGGTGGTGGTGATGATGATGATGATGAGATGATGACGAGGAGGAGGACAAGGAGCAGGAGGACGGGAAGGAAGAGTCAGAGGGGGAGGGAGGATGCTGGGAGATGCATGAGAGGAGATGAGGATGGACGAGGGGGAAGGGAGGAGTGAAGGGGCGAGGAGGATGGAGGAGGTTGGGAAGGAGAGACCCCATGGAGCCCATGGAGGGAACCGAATGTCCGCAGCTCGCAGCAGAGGGAGGAGTGGGAAGACGAGAGCGTGGCGGAGGAGGGGGTGAGGGAGGGAGAATGGGCAGGAAGGAGCAAGGAAGAGGATGAGGAGGAGGAAGTGGATGGCGCTGCGTGTCCTGTCCTGTCACAGGACAGGGAGTCAGCAGCTCGTAACAAAGACGGCGTGCCGAAACTTTTCAACCACAGTGAATGGGGCGCCCTGGGACCGAGGCCGATCGCAACCATTTCGGGCCGATCGTCGATCACTTCGGACCGATCACAACCTACTGTGATCGAGCCGAAATGGTTGCGATGTTTTTGGGAAGCTGTGGAGTCAATCTGGTTGAGAGAAGACTCTCAAGAGCACTTCTGGATGCACTGGGGTCCCTTAAGCCCCCCAGAGGAATTGCGAAAAATCAATGCGATCGGGCCGATCACCGACGGTTCACTACATCCAGATTGTGCAATCTATGGCGTGCAATGTACGCTGTGCAATCTATGGAATGAAATCTGTGTGGTGCAATGTGCGTGATGCAATCGATGCTGTGCTGCCTAATGTGGTGCCATCCATGCGGTGCAATTTTAGGTTGTTCAGTGATCCCATCAGCCCTCTGGGCGTAGGTGGCTTAGAGCGGTTTCTCTTCCAACCCCTCCCTCTTCCCCTTCGGGGAGGGGTTATCACTGTTCCATGTGAATATACACCCCCACCCCCAGGCGACCGGCAGCCAACCAGGAACCATGCTGCCCCCCCCCTCCATCCCTGTCAAAAACAAACGGTACACACTCTGCCTCGACATGTGGAGCATGCGCGGCCAACCCGATGCGCCCCCCCACACCATCCCTGTCAAAAAACAATAGAAAGAACACTTGGGGAAAAGTCTTGAATCATGCTCGTGCGGCCCGCGAGCACTTTGCATTACTTTTCTGACAGGAGCGGCGGGGGTGTCAGCATATTGCCTGCTGCGCGCAAGGCTACCATCCTTACAAACAATACAAAATGCACCTCGCGGCTAAATCTGGATCATGCGCGGCCACCCCGCGATCACTGTCAAGTGGTTTTTGACGGGGACGGCGGGCGTGGTGGCGTATGGCCTGCTATGGCAGGCCCACCAGACACAATGATGGACATTGCTTGTCGACAAGGCTGCTGGGGGCCGACATGTTTCCCGATGTGTGCTGCCACGTACGCAGGCGCACCTGACACACTCTGCATGTGCCCTGGACGTGGCGCATCTGGCGCGGCTGGAGTATGCGGCACACCTGGCGCACGCGGAGCACGTGGCGCATCTGGCGCACCAGGCGTGCCTGGCACGCTCGGGCCCCAGGGGGGCCTGGCGCGCGTGGCGCGCCTGGCGCGCGTGGCGCACCTCGCCCGAGCGTCGCGCACAAGGGCTCGGATTTGGTTCCCAGCAGCTGTCCATCCAAAGATGACCGCGGAGCATGCTGAGGCTCGGGTGTTACTTATGTGTGGGGAGGGCGAGTGGGAGTGAGCTAGACGGCTTGCTATCTGGAGGGTGTCTTGACCCTTCCACCAGATCCCCTCCCCTGGACCTGGAGGGGCGGTTTCGCGAGGCGTTGGAGCGTCCTCCAAGATGGCTCAAGATAGCCCAAGATGGCTCCCACGATGCTCCAAGGGGCCCCAAGACCGCTCGAAGTTGGCTCCGAGTGGCCGCGGAGCCTCCCCAAGAGGCCGGCAAGAGGCCAACATCTTTCAACAACAACAAAAGGAAATCAATGATGTGTGCCTTCTCGCCTTTTCGCTTCCGATGGCCTTCCGAGGCCTCAAGACAGCTCCAAGAGGACTCCTGATGGCCCTGAGAAAGGCCCAAGAGAGCTCCAAGACGGCCACAAGAGCGCTCCAAGAGCGCCCCAAGGGGGGCCCAAGGGGTGATGTTTGAAGCTCCCCCCTTCTTTGATCGATCTCCTCCGAGATGGCCCCCAGAGGGCTCCCAGGGCTCCCAAGAGCGCCTCAAGAGGGCCTCGAGAGGCACCCAGGAGGACCCAAGAGGTGCCCAAGACGCCTCCAAGACGCTCCCAAGAGACCCTCAAGAGGCTCCAAGAGGCTCCCCGAGGCACCCAAGACGCTCCAAGAGGCCACCAGGACAACCAACAGGCCCCCAAGACTCCCCAAGAAGCTTCCAAAAAACATCCAAGAGACATCTGGGGAGACTCTGCGAGGCAACTCGCCTGGGTATCGTTTCTGGATAGGCTGGTGGGGATACGCTAAACGTCAAGAGCTTGGTGCAATCTGTGGTGTGCAATCTAAGTTGTGCGCTCGATGTGGTGCCATCTATATTGTCATAGGTGCTGCGCATTGTATTGGTGCAATCTACGTTGTACACTCGGGCGGCGGCGACGAGCGACGACGGTGGCGACGCTACGTGCAAGCACTGTGGGGAATACTCACGGACACTTATGATAACGTAAATGGTTATCTCAAGAGGTCGCGGGAAAGGCTGAGGTGGGACGAGAAGGGGCAGGGAGGGAGGCACTCGTGCCAGCGGGAAACCGACTCGGGTGAGCTGTTCCGAAGGTGCTTCCGAGCGCATTACAGCTGAAGTCTACATGTAAGTGCACGGAAAAGAAAGGGAAATGGCACACCCTGCAGGCTTCGTTCACTGCAACGTCGCCAGAACAAAGGCTTCCCCCCTCCTGCTCTGCCGGATTGCGTCGCGCACACAAACACATGCAAGGGGGTCTCCTTTTCCACCTCGTTTTCCTCGTCCTCCTCGTCATCATCCTCCGCTTCCTCCTCATTATCCTCTGGATCAAAAGCCCTTCAGGAATCCTTGAGAACTCTATACAGGAGATCTCAAGAATCCCTTCGGCATTCCACCGGAATCCATCCGAAATCCCCAGGAACCACTCTGGAAAAACAAAGCTTCAGGATTCCTTCAGGACCCCGCAGGAACCGTACAAATCTCCCCGATGCAATCGTAAGAGTCTGCAGGGATCCGCCACAAATCCCTTCAGGAAGCCAGAAAGGAATCCTCAGGAATCGCCCAGGATTTGTTCAGGGATCTTTGGGTGGCCTTCAAGAATCCTCGGGGATCCTTCAGGAACCCTTCAGGAATCCAGAGGAGCGCCTCAGGAATCCAGAGAACCCCCTGACGAATCCTTCAGGCCCCCCTGAGGAATCTTACGGGATCCCTCTGGGATCTGGCAGGAATTCTCCAAACAAGAATCCCCTTCGAATCCTCACGAATCCGTCGGGGAACCATGAAAAATCCTCAGGAGTCCTTGAGTCCCGAGGAATCGAACGAATCTAAAAAAGGAATCCTTCAGGAACCTGCAAGGAATCGCGAGGAGTCAACAGGGATCTTGAGGAATCCTCAGGGCATACCTCAGGGATCCTTAGGACTACGTCCAGAATCCCCCAGGCTCCCTTAGGAATCCCTCAGGCATCTCTCGAGAATCCTTCGAGAATACGTCCGGAATCCCAAGGAATATTCATGGATCCCTCACGAATCCTCGAGGAATCCTTGGGGGTCCTTTAAAGAAGCCCGAGAAATCTTTCAAGGATTCTTTTGGGCCCCCTGAAGATTATTCTGGGAATCCCTCAGGAACCGTCACGAGTCTTTGAAGAATTGTTTAGGACACCTTGAAGAATCCTTCAAGAATCCCTCCCGAATCCAGAGAACAAAACAAAAATCCTTCAGGAATTCTTCGGGAATCCTGGAGGGGATCCCGGAGGGATTCCTTAGGAATTCCCCATGAACCCTTCAGGAATGCACAGGAATCCTAAGGAATCTGGAGGAATCCGTCAGAGATCCGCAAAAATTCGGCGGAACGCCGAAGGGGAATCCACAGCATCCTCCACGAAACCGAAGAGTGACATCTGGGAAACGCTCAGGAATTCATCGGAATTCCTTGCGACGTCCTTCAGGAACCCCTCGGGAGTCCACAGGAATTCCCTGGGGTCCGTCAAGAACATGCAAGATTTCTCAGGAACCCGCCTGGAAGCTTCAGAAAACCGCGGGGATCTCTCAGGAAGCCTAAGAGGAGCCCACGGGAATCCGTCACGAAGCCAATGATGAGGCACAGTCTAGGAGTACTTCAGGAAGCCTCAGGAATCCGCCAGGAACCCTGAGAGGAACCTACGGGCTTCGTGCACGAAGCCGAGGAGGAGCCTTCCAGCAGGCGCCTAATAAGCGCGCCTGGAAGTTTCAAGTAGCTCCCATGGTTATAGTTTTGCGTTCGTCTTGTAGACGCACTATAAGGACCCTCCTCTTTGGGCTTCAGTCCGTTCCCAATGGTCGTAACCAATCCCAGGTCGTTCGTGAACGACCCGATGTGATTGGGATCGGCCTTAATCTCGGCGTGCCCCGAGCGGTGATGCAGCTACGCTAAGAGCACAAGACTTCGGTCACCCAAACAGTGAGCACTGGGTTACCAGTGCTGTACTACGCTGAATGCGGTGCAGTGGCGGCCAGCCGAGCCGTCCGTCTGCGTGAGCCGAAACGTCGACAGACCCGAAGACAAGGCCCTGGGTCAATTGCGGACGGCGGGCTCCTCATGAAAAAAGGAAGCAAGCAGCGACAACGGCCATGGCCCCTCCGCTGCACCGCCCCCTCCGCCGCAGGACCCCTGCTCCGCGTCCTCCTCCAAGGTGGCGCTTGAGCCATCCGCCAGGGAAGCGGGGGGAGGAGAGTTTAAGGAGGGCTTGGGTTTCCTCTCTCTCGCTGGTGAGGGGCTGGCCATGGGCCTCCCCTCCCCCCTGGGGCGCTACAGGCGTGACAGGAGGAGGAGGAGGAGGAGGAGGAGGAGGACAGGGGAGGAGGAGGAGGAGGAGGGAGGAGGAGGAGGAGGAGGAGGATAGGAGGAATGGATGAGAGAGAAGGAGAGAGTAGGAGAATAGAAGGACCTCGCAGTTGTCTAGGGAGCCCAACTCCGTCAGTCAAACGGCCAGAGGCGTGCTAAGATCTCCGGTAACTGGTTAACAATTCTCTAGTTCGCGCGCGCGGGGCGGCCCCTGGGGGTCCCCGGACGAAAAGTACCCCGACCAGGTCCCGGCCGGTCCCCGGCCGGGTCCCGGCCGGGTCCCGGCCGGGTCCCGGCCGGGTCCCGGCCGGGTCCCGGCCGGGTCCCCCCGAGCGCTCCATGAGCGCACCAACAGGGCTCCGAGACGTCCCCGAGAGCCCCAAGAAAGGCCAAGAGGCCCCCAAGAGGCCCCCAAGATGGTACACGAGGGGTCCGACATGCCACAAGATCGCGCCAAGACGCCCAAGATAGCCCCCAGACGCCCCAAGAGGCCTCCAAGAGCACTCCCAATAGGGCCCCCGGAGGCAAAAATCATTGTTTTTCATAGGTTTTTGAGAGATTTTGGAGCTTCCACCTTTTCGGCTTCCCGACGCCCCAAGACGGCCCAAGAGGCCCCCAAGATCGCCCCAAGAGGGCCCAAGAGGCACCCAAGAGGGCCCCAAGATGGCCCAAGAGGGCTCGAATACGGCCCAAGAATCCTCCAAAACGGTCCAAGAGGGCCCCAAGAACGCCCCCAAAGGGGCCCCAGAGAGGGAACACGAAACAACATTTCGAGCCCTCGGCCCTAAGAAGCCCCTGCGAGGCCCCTAAGAGGCCCCAAGAGGCCCCCACGGGGCCCTCAGGAGGCCCCCAAGAGTCCCCCAAGCGGCCCCAGGAGGCCCCCCAAATGCCCCCCCGAGCGCCCCAGTAGTCCCCCAAGCGGCCCCAGGAACCCCCAAAGCGCCGCATTGACACCAGGCCCTCGGGCAAACGGCAGACATGAGACTGTATGG